CATAGTATTGAGAAGACAAAACAGGTTAAACCTTTATCGGCACAGAATTCCCGGTTTCCAAATAGGCATTGATAAGAGGACCGCTGCATCACCCGATTCCCACACTTCATTCAAAGTAATGACGATAAGGTAGCAAAAGAAAGGCGTACCGTGCGTAAGAGCAACGGATTAGTGTTCAAGCTGTCAAGAAACCGCACATTCTTGCAACGAGATACTAATCGCCATCTTCAACAACTTACGGTGGCGCGAAGCGCATTACGGCGAAAGAAAGCCTTGCATGACTCGCAGGCTATTGCTCCAAAGTTAAAGCCCACGGCATGATCTCCACAAACAGCACATTTCTTTTCATCTCTTTTTCGCGCACTCGCACTGGAAGGACAGGTACTGCAATCATTACTTGACGGAATCGCGAAGCATTGGAGGTCGTCATGAATCACACTCGACATCTGAGTGTGAAGTACTTGTTTTTGTGACGTCATTCAGAGCTCAATGAGCGATGAACCTAAAAAGCAAAATAAACGGGATAAGGATCGCAGTAGAACAAAAGATGAACGATACACGACAATTAAGCTAAGAAAATGGGAGAAAGTACAACAAAATGACCAAAAATATCGATGCAGCAGCACGAATGGAAACAGCAAGAATGTGCCGGAATCTAAGATAATGCACTAAGTATCCAGGCAAAAGTAAATGTTGAAAAGCAAATGCCACCCAAAGAGCCCATGATTTAGGTCGAAATCTGATGATAGCCACAAAAACTAGTTCAAAAGATTGGTTAAATGTGAAGGGAATTAAGGAGTGGCACTTAGACCGACATAGACCAACGCTTTATGTAACAGTAACAGTAACACAAGTCCCGGAAGAGTAACCTTGAAAAATGCAGATAATCCCGATCAATAAAGTAAAGTTTACAATTCTGAAATAAATGAGCAACACAATGAAGAACAAACGCTGAATATTTGGATATGGTCGTATCTTCAACATACCGATAAATATTCAAACGCCAGACAAACTATACAGACGTTAGGAATGCCAGAAGGCCTACCAGACATCAAGGTCGATTAATTTGCGCACTAGTAACATCA